TAACAGACAAGTAATAGGTGTACCATGAAGTTCATAGCCAGTATTACAGTATACTGTAACTGTTGTTCCTGATCCTGTATTGTTAGTTGACAGACTCCCATTAGCTGGTGAAGCCAATCTTGGACAGCTTGCTATTCAAAAAATGTATTTTGTTTAATATTCATACATTGCTATACACAACCAATTGTTATCGCCTAAATCAGGACTGATATCAGTCCTGAATCATGGTTTTCGACTTTTCGTGTAATCAGTCATGATACAATTTGTACCGATTCATGCCAGAGTATCAGACATGATCTATAAAATAATGTGTCAGGGCTGTACCAGTATAGGACATCAGACTTGGTCCATTATTTTGGGGCAAAAGTGCTGATTCAGGCACGATAACTTTTGGTTGTGTATATGTACATGTACATAGATTAACATATATTTATGTATTTAAGATACACTTATACATGTAAGTATAAATCTTGTTAATTTATATCACTAAAAGAGAAATAGAGTATACAGTATAGCTATAATTGACTTACCAGCACATTGAGGTACATTAGGATACCAAGAGCCACTGCTGGTACATTGTACTGTAGTGTGACCATCAAGAGGAGCAAAGTGGTCATTGCATGAGTAGCTAACAATAGTCCCTTCACTGTACCTACCAGCGACTTTAGAGGGTCCTTGACTGATGTATACACTGGTTGAATTAGCAATAGTACCAAAGAAACCATAGCAAACTGCTGATCCTGTACAAACAAGAATTCTTTGAATGTCAAAAATTCAACATTTGTGCTAGACAGCATAAGTACATGTACATTGATGCATGCTGTTAGATCAAGAGGGAGTTTAGGAGACTTTTGGTCTCGCATATTTGGCATAAATCTCATGAAATATCCCATTCTAGCTTATTTAGCATAGGTGTCTTTAAAGGCCTCCATACACTAGGCAACTTTGCAACCACAAATTTTTCAAGCAACATGTTGCTTAGTGTATGTTGGGCTTAAGTCTCTCATTTTCTGGTAGATTGGCCTCCCAAACTAGATCTAACATTATCAATTTGGATTAGAATTTAGAATAATTCAACAAGTACATGTATGCTAGTGTATTATAGTCTATTGACTAAAGTATGTGTCATTGGCATACTAGAGCAGGAAACTCCAACATCATGATTGTGATGACAATTATGAATGCCGAATCCTGAATAAGAACACTCAAGCAATGTATTCTCAGTCCCAGTACAAATGACATCATTCAACCAAACAGTACCAGCACCTATAACAATAAAAAAAATAATCAATAAATAAATTCTCCATTTTTATAGTTAATTTTAAAAAGTAAATACCGTATACCGGTTTATTTTCGCAGTGGAAAACTTTCATGAATTTTGCATTTCTAAAATTTTGCGGAATTAATTTTTGCGAATTGCTTGCAGACTGTACCACGTGGCAATGGAGAGCAGAATTTCGAGGTGAAAAATTTTAGCGAATGATCACCAAACCGCAAAATTCGCGAAAATATTTTACCACGAAAATAAACCAGTATATAGTCGGTTTCAGTTGAGAAGAAACGGAAGTAAATCAATATTTTCGTCATTAAAACGTCACATGTAGCCCCGCCCGAACATGGCTGCAATCTGCAAGCTCTGTCATTCTTCGAGCGTTTCTTCTCTTTTAACTTACTTTACTATCTATTGTACCTCTACAGTGATTGCTGCTGCCTCCATCTATCTTTTTCTTGTTTTTGGTGCCTGTTTTAAGCTGGTATAGAGCTCGGAATACGGGTGAATCAACGAGTGTACTGGCAATGAAGAACAACTAAGATTGAGAAGGCTGTGGAGTGATATAGCAAGAATTATCCTCAAGAGAAAGCTCCAGGTTGAATATTAGTAGGTCTAGAGAGCTTGATATGTTTTGTTTTATTTTTAAAATAAAAAACATTATTTTTTGACTAAATGTAATGAGATGCAAATGATATTCATCGGAGTGACGCACACGATTCGTCATGGCATGCAGCTCCTTTCATCTCAAGCGGAAGAACCCGTTTAGAACCTTCCAGAGTACCTAGAAACTCAAAAATTGGTAAGGATTTTTGGAAGAACCCGTTATGCAGCTATACCAAATTTCAATTTGCTAGCATTAGTGACAAAAAAGTTATAAGGGGTGGTGGTGGTTTCTTCTCAACTGAAACCGACTATACAGTATATGTGTTTTAATGTTGTATAAAAAGTTTGAGCAGACTCCAATCAAATTTGGATTTTTTAATGAATTTATAAAGCTACTACTATAGTACAGGGATTTTGGTCAAATTTCGCCAAAAATGACTAGGAGAGAATTCTCCATTTTTATAATTTACTCTGATACATATACATGTTCTTATGTTGTGTAGCAAGTTTGAGCTAATTCTCATCAAATTTGGATTTTTTATGAATTTTTAAAGTTACTCTAAAATTGGGCCAAAGACCCTGTACTATAGTACAGGGATTTTGGCCGAATTTTGCCAAAAATGACTAGGAGAGAATTCTCCATTTTTGTAATTTATTCTGATACACATACATGTTCTTATGTTGTGTAGAAAGTTTGAGCTAATTCCGATCAAATTTGAATTTTTTATGAATTTTTTAAGTTGCTTCATATACATGTAGCTTTGTGAGCTCATGAAGCATGCTTTTAGCTCACTTAGCATGCTTTGTAGGAAATCCAGATATAACATTAACTGATGTTCATGTATATAATAAATAATAATAAAATAACATATAGCATATAACACTATTCATGCATGTACATGTACATAGTGTACCTTGTCCATAAGGGATTGCGTGGGTGTAGTTATTAGTAGCTGATTTATATCCAATCATACGACAGACCACATCAGCATCTTTTATGCTCCAGTAGGTATCACAAATGGTGCCCC